GAGCACGACGGTGGCGACCAGGAAGGCCTCCATGATGACGGCATTTTGATTCTTGGCTTCTTACGAATTGCGATCGCCGATCAGTTGTTTAGGCTCAAGGTATTTTTTTCCTTTTTATTTTTAATCTAAATTAATTATTTGTATAGTATTCCGGACTTGTAGTACTTTATACTCATATAGTCATGTTTTTCTTCTAATTTAGATGTTAGAATCTTAGAATGTTACCTAAGAAATATTTGTCGGGGGCTAAGAAAAGAAAACAAATATATTATTTTTTTAATATACATTGTTTCTCGATAATTATCAGGCATGTATAAATATATTGTTTTTTTAATCTACATTATTCCTCGATAATTATGAGACATGTTAAATTAAAAAATATTATTAGATTTGCTTTCGCTTTGCATGTAAAATTAGCGTCTATATATTATAAGATTTTATACGTGATCTAGAGGGGCTGTTGCAAAGAGTTTTCCAGAGGGTCCTCAAAATCTTAGGATCGGTACTGATTCTCTTCAAAGCTGAATCTTGAGAATATTCTATCACAGTTCCAAAAGATCCATTTCTTTGAAACACAGGATTGCCAAATCCTTTGAAACTTGTTAAAGAGCAATTCCCTGTAATATAGTCAATTATCCACATGTTGCGGTGGCACCTTCACTTAGGACGTGTTTGGATGGTGGCTTGAGCCAGGCAACTGCATCCCAAGGCCTGACGAAATCGATGGCCTGGATTTGCTGTCTAGACCAGGCAGTTTTGCCAGGGTATCAAGCAAACAGATCCTTAATGTATCGTTTTGGAGAGTTCTTGTCGGAAGACAAACTGACTGCTTGGAATAACCTAGTAGCTAAATTAGTTGAGGTTCAACTTTCTAATAAAAGGACTATTTTTACTACATAAACACGGTCATTTCATTAATAATTAATAATTCATATGGAAGTTGAAGTTACCTCTGAAGATGAAGATTTTCATTTGTGGTCTTCAGAAGAGTGTGATTTTAACTAAAGACAATTTAGCTAGCAGGAATTTATCAGGTAGTCAGAATTGTTGTTCACCTCTTTTTTTGGAGGACACCATCTATTTATTTATATAATTGTTCACATAGCTTGGGTTAACCCCACCTCGATCCATAGTTCGCATGCTTGGAAATTGGTTAACCAGCATTGCTCAAAAGGAACGTTTTTTAATTTTTGTGTGGGTTGCTGCCATTATTTAGGCGATTTAGTGTACGCATAATGATCTTATTTTTTGGAAAGGACGTGTGACTTTCCTTTGTGCAGGCTATCTTCAGAAGAAGATATCGGACAACAATTCAATGATCATATCAATCGATCAGTCCTTAAGCATTAGCTAGGCTCAGGTATTTTGATGTAAGGAGCAACATGACATTAGCCTAGATAAATATACACTAATAGAAAAGTAAAACTAATCAGAAGGTGAACAAAGTAGGCTTCAATGTTCAGAATTCATTGCATTACAATATATCCTTTTGGGCTTATATATGTATACATGAAAAAAGAAAGTATATATTATTGTATTCCTATGGAAGTGCTCAGAGAGGTTAGATCCTTTTATATGGCTGTCTAAAATCATAGTTGCATCACGGTACTTAAAGGCTGATACTCCTATATGCATAGATAAATGGAAATATTCAGCTATCAAAGCTTAAATCTGAATCAATGGGCTCTCGGCTGAAGAAATATTCTGCTACGATAGCGCATATCTTGAAATGAAGTTCATATCTTTTCTTTATTTGATTGACACTGTTTTCTATATGTATATTACCCAAAAAAATCGTAGTATTCCAGTGTATTCATGGATCGGATATAAAATATATCTTTATATCTCTTTTTTCATATAATATATATATACCTAAAAAGCACTCGACGTATTCAGGGGAAAACATTTTTTTGACCCCTATAATAAATATAATCGCAAAAAGAAAAGACCCTATAAATATGAGGCCCGGAGGAAGCAGCTCCCTGGATTCGCTTACTTCCAGTCTCTCTCTCCCCAACATTTCGTTTGACGAAGTGCGGCGACGGCGGCCGCGGCGTGCGGTACCTGATGATGCCCATCCTATTCATCATCCTCGTCTGGTGGACAGAGCAATGCCTACCAAGTGTGCCTGTACGTACGTCATCATATCTTTCTTGTGTTTTCTCAGCCTCCTTGTCATTATATATGTGCACGCATTACCGATCTTGAATTTTTGAGGTCTTGTTTGAATATTGTCAGATTCACCTCAAACCACATGTGCTGCTGTGGATCAGGGTAAAATTTAGTTCGACTTCCACTTGAATCTACATAAACACATATATAGATTGATGCGAGTCTAACTATGTCCAAACAAAGCCTGATGAATATATAAAAAATGTTGGATCGGATCAGGTCGTCATGTCGCACACGAGGCCGCAACACAAGGGAGCTACGCAGACGACGCAATAACTTCAGTCGACGCTACCACCATGGACTCCACATCTAGAGATGACAGTAATACTAAGGTCTACCTGAAATTTTGCACCGAGAATTATTGTAAATTCAAGATATGCTACTGCTGCCAGATGGATCGACCGCATCCTCTTTGTTACTACACGCGGGAGGAGTGCAAGGCGGCATGCCCCGCGTGCAACCCTCAGTGTCCACCTCTGGAGAATAACCCAGATCTGCCAACGAACGCTACCTTATTGTAATAATAATAATAATAAAGGTGTTATTAGATGATCTTAAAAGCATCGTCACACTTGCTGCTCGTTTGACCTTATAATATAATAATAATATGTTCCTTTGAAAAACTTTTGTTCCAAATATGTCTAAAAAGGTGCTATTCTATCCGTGCATATGGTGAACTGTGCTATATTAAAAACACTCGATCCGCTGCCTCCTCTTTCTTCACAATGACCCGCGTAGTCGGATCCTACTGTGCATTGCTCCGTCCGTCCACCCATCTGTTAGGGTTTGTTGAAAACGCATGATGTAAGCGTCTGTTTCAGATGTTTTAAAGGTATGTTATAAGTGTTTCATATAAATGTTACAAAAGTGTTGCATACGTTGTACACATATGTTGCAAGCGTTTGTTCTCGTGTTTCATCTGTTTTTCAGACTTATGTTGCTAGTGTGTTTATCTGCATGTTGCATATGTTTCTACATATGTTGCAAGCGTTTTTATCTGAATGTTGCATATTTTTGCAATGGTTTTGAAGTGTTTTGCAGGAGTTTTTACAAGTGTTTCAGCATGCATGTTTTAAGTGTTTCATCTGTCTTTAGTGTATGTTGCATGTGTTGTATATGGATGTTTCAAAGTAGATCGAGGTGTTGCACATGCTGCAATGGCGTTGGGGGCTGACGAACAACGGCCTGCCGCAGGGCTTTGGCTCCTTCCTCGCGCGGTGCGCATCGCCCTCTCCTCTCCCTCCCCTCCCCTCCCTTCCCTTCCCTCCATCTTGACGCGTGGCAGTTCAAGCTCGGCGCACCCTGACGAGCGCGATGCCCGCATAGATTGTGGCCCGACGAGCGCGCGGAGGTGGTGGCCCCGGGTGGTCCAACAGTGGCGCGATGCCCGTGTGGTGGCCCCGCAGCAAGATAAGGTCCGCGCCGTCCACTCGTTACATGCGGGAAACAGAGCAGCCGTGGGCTTTCGTCCGGATGTCCGGGCGCTAGTCCTCCCAATAAAATAAAATAATACCAACCATCAGATACATCATCAGTATGATGGATACAATAGGAAGATTTGCTCGAGGACGCTGTACAAAAAAGCATAATCCCAATACTGAAAAATTAAATAATGACAACACTACAAATAATTAGTACTGTACTACTTAGCGCTAGGACCGAGCAAGGTACACAATGACTTCCGTCAATCAATATAAGTTCACTTAGGTTCGTCCAAAGTTTAACCTTTTGAATTCAGACCATTAGGATTAGGATATCATAGATGTTATATATAAACAACACAAGATTGACATTATTAGATTAATTATGAATAATACTTTCACACCATATACTTTTTTAAACTTGAGATAATATAACTTTATAGATATTGCTAGTCAAAGTTTAAAAGGTTTGACTTAACGACAAACGTAGATTGACTTAAATTTGTGATCCAAAGAGTATTTAATTGCCCCTTGGCTGGGAAGCAGTAGAGTGGATGTCAAACCAAAACAAACACAATAACATATAGATTCAGACATGCCAACATAAGCATGTGAGCTGACCTGGCTAAGACGCCAGAAATGAGCGGATTTTATTCCAGCAAAAGAACGGAAGGCAATTACAGTTAGCTTTGCTCTTTCGCTTCTTCAACATTCAACACTATTTACAACACTGCACAATGATGTACAATAAGAACAACAATGAGGGGGCAGGAATGATGTACATTTTCAAGAGTGGTGATCAGACGGTCAATCTAGACAGGTCACTTTGGCAGAAAGGGCAGCCGAGAAAAACTTGAGCCGCCGCCATTCTCACTGACGATCAAATCCGATCTGGTTTGCTTAGTGGGCTTTGATACTCCATTGTCTTTACTACAACCCTTCTTGGTTATTTTCACGGGGAGAATCTGTAACCTCGAATTGGAGTCACTTCCAAAGGTTTCAGCAAGTAGCTGGTAGCTCTCTACGAGCTCCAGCTGCCGAGCAACTATTTCTGAACATCTTGGGAGGAGCTCAACCGGCTCCCCACCTGGAATAACAATGTACTCGATTGCAAGACGAGCCTCCTGCATGTGTACAGAGTACAATGTAATTGTTATGTGACAACGCTAGTTTGGTGTTTAGAAACAGATATACACAGACATCAATATTATATTAATGTATTGGCAGAATATCAGAAGTCATAGTATGATCATAGCATGTAAAAACCCATTCTCATCGTGGACATGGAATCATTCGTATGAATAAGATCATCCGTGTAGTCAACATTTCATAGTGATTGAAGGAAAAAATTAAATGAGAAAATAATGTTCAGTCAGGAAGAGAAATTATATTACTAACAAAAGACAGTCAATTTTGCAACTAAAACATAAAATCATTTGAGTTATCTTTCAGAGGCAAGTATGTGGTAAACTGATTACCTCCAAAGCATCAATTTCCTCCAAAGATGGCTTACGTATCGGAGCATCATCCTCAATCTCTATCTCGCCCTCCATAACCTTAGGTTGCTTACTTGATGATCTGTTGTCCCTTCCAACAATCATTCTGATAGCCTTAACTATTTGAGCCATCGTATTAGTCTGCCATTTACAATATATAAAAAAAAAAGAAGTATGTTAATGCAAGCATAATCAGCAGTAGATAGCACAAAATCAATGTATCGTGTGATAACCTTAACAACAAATATGGGAAGCTTGTGGTATTTGGCAACATTGTGAATCCAAGGATTCTGCTTCATTTCAGAACTTGATGCAAGAATCACATCGGCTACTCCGATGTCATCTGTTACATCTAGTTCATCATCAAATCCCATCACTGTTGCTACTTGCAATATATCAGCTTCTGATATCTGGCAGCAGGAAATAGAAATGCCATGAGCATTTTGTTTCTTCGTTACATTTATATTAATGGCAAAAATAAAATACTGCATGACTTGTTTGAGAATAAAATAGGTACTGAAAAATTAGTGTTCTCTGTTATTGAGGAATATATCATAAATAAAATCCAAGGCAGCTTATGTGTTAGGTTACTAAACTGAGGACTAAAACAAAAGTAAAACCAAGACTTCATGTTTTCCATCTCTTCATTTACCTGGTATGTGTATACACGGACTAGAGACTTTCCAGGCACAGATTTCTTCCCTTTTGCTTTCCTTCTGTAAACAAAATCATCACCAAAATTATCATCCGATGGCATACTCCTGATTTTTGTTTGCCTGGAGGCAGCAAAATCCTCACTTAAGTTGCTTTCTGATGATATTGACTTGGTGACCATATCTTCCTGATATAGTGGCAGTGATTCTATTTCATACTCTCTATCAGGTATCACCAATGGCATTTCTGATTCCGTAGACTTATTATGCATCTTGCGAGCTTCAAACTTAGGTGGCTTCCCTGTAGCAGAGAGTATAAAATTAAGTGAGTTAACGGGCATAGAAATAAAGTTCAGATCTTCAGAAGCCTGAAGATGTCAATGACTCCTAATAATTGAGGTGCTGACCCATGAGGTTTAAAAATGCTAAATAGTTGGGAAGTTACCTGCAAGAATAGCATCCACTGTGGCATCTAACTTGTGATGGACTCGACATTCAGTTTTGGATATCATCTCAACAGCGCATGAAAATGTAGGGGGTCCTTTTCTCTCGAGAATGGTTTTCTGGACTTTCCGCTTTTTTGCTTCCTCATCACCAAGAGTCACACTCTACATAAGAAACCTCAGATTAATATTTCCACAAACAAAATATTGAAGCGATTGAGTTGATATAAGGTAAAATGCCAATAGGGCTCCACAATTGTAATCCAGTTTAAAAAGGAAAATATGATGAAGTAGGTAAACTGGGATCACCGCTGCTGCTTAGAATATAAACCAAATTAAAATCTACTATGCGAAGCTTCAACACAAAGTAATTGACTGTGGCACTTTAATGTCCCTTCAGAAGGTTGCTAAGTTCCAGCAGCATGCAAATGCATTGGGTAAAGAGTAATAGAGGAAGAAAATGCACCTCAATCCCACCAACGAGCATTTGCAAACAAGGATTTTTAATTATGCTCTCGATTGTCACCCCGTGAGCAGTTCCAACTAGTTGAACACCTCTCTGAGCAATAGTGCTAGCTGCCATTGCCTCAAGTTCTGTACCAATCTCATCGATAACAATTACTTCTGGCATGTGATTTTCAACTGCTTCAATCATTACCTGCAGAAAACAAAGTTTCCTTTGTGTCACCACACTTGAGAGTGAAGTTTTTAAGAAAAGGCTCGAGAACTCCTAAGCAAATAATTGAATTATATCAATGAATAACTTTGAGGACCTACGTTGTGCTGCATAGTAACTTTGGGAACTTGCATTCTCCTAGCACGTCCAATGCCAGAGTGAGGTACATCCCCATCACCTCCTATTTCATTAGATGTGTCCACTATGATCACGCGTTTCTTACCTTCATCTGCCAAAATTCTAGCTATTTCCCTGTATTTTTTAAAAGCATCATCATTCATTAGCATCACATTACAGTACTCATCAAACAATCTTTGATCTATAGATTATAATACCAAATTATTGAATTTGACTGCCATTACATGGAACCATCTGCTGATCTGGAGAAGCGACATGGATATTAGGTGCTGTACCTGATCAGAGTGGTTTTCCCAACTCCAGGAGGTCCAATCACCAATATTGAACCACGGCTCACCACTAGGTCACGGATCATCTCTGCACTGCCAGATATAGCTCGACCGACACGGCAAGTGAGCCCTATGATTTGTGCTTTCCGGTTCCTGATAGCGCTGATCCGGTGCAACGAGTGATTGATCCCAGATCGGTTGTCCTCGGAGAAGTCACCTACCTGCAAACCAGCACCAATCTTCCAAATAAGCAAAACAGAGACTCCACAAGCGGAACAGAGTGCACAATGGTTGGCCTAAAGCTACTTCGAGCAGATAGGGGCCAGTCATAGCAATAGCATGCATCGTGATCTAGCGTTCACCCACTAAGAAAGCAACCAGTCCATTTGAAGATGCTCCAGAGGCACTAGCACGCCGCCAGGCAGAGAAAATCTAGTAGTTTATTTGGGGATCGGGGGGCGGCAAAAGTAACAAGTACCATGGTGTAACGCCGAGTGAGAATTAAATCAGCTCGTGCCTCGTGCAGCTACCTTGGCGACGGCCTGGCGGAGGTCATCGGCAGTGACGACCTGGTCGGAGATGACCCAGTCCCCGGACGGGAACCGCGCGATGGGGCGGCGGCCGAGGTCCATGACGACCTCGACGAGGTCCCGCACCTCCTGATGCAGCGCCAGCCCGCGCCGCATCCTCGCGGGCACCACCTCCAGGAACGCCTCCAGCTCGCCCCGCGCCTCGGGCGCCGCCGCCGCGGTCGCATCAGGCGCGGGCAGCTGGGCGGCGGCGCCCCGTGACGGCGCGCACAGCCGGTCCCCGGAGGGCCGGCGCACGGGCGGCTGCTGCTGAGGGACCGCCGCGGCGCGGGGGCGCGCCCAGCTCCCCCGCGCGCGCCGCCGCGGCGAGGCGCGGCACGCCGGGCGCGTGCGGAGCGGGGACGGGGATGGGGACGGGTTGAGCGCCCGGAGCATGGCGCCGGTCGGCTAGTGACGGCGCAGAGGAAGTGAGGGAGGTAGCTGGGTAACTTGGGGAGGCGGGAAATGGCGCGCGTGGGTTATATGTACAGGGGTGGGATATTTCGTCTAAGAGATGGCGCGCAGGGGCCGCGGGGAGGAGGTGTGGAAGACGAGAGGGAATCGGAGGAAGGAAGATTCGGTGGGAGTGCTGCCTGCGACCGCGAGCGAACTGGAGGTCTGGAGCACAGAGCTCCAATGGCGGGGACGTGAGGGACTCTTCTCGGCGGTTAACAACCGCGCACTCCGCCATAAGCGCGGCTTATGATGGACCACCACCACACTACTTCTGTTGCTAGTCTTTTGGAGATCCGAGGCCTCTATTTTGCTCACATGATTTTTGTTTTTTTTAAGGCTAAATTTGCTATGGGCCGAAGAAATGTATAACTAGATAGTGAACACCGCAAACGTCAAAATTTATTGGTGAACATTACAAAATTGTGGTTCTTTGCGCGGAGACGCCGCACTTATTATTTTATTCATTTTTCAGTTTTGAGGAGAGAGAATGTGGGAGAAATATTTAAATTGCTCTCGTCTTCAACCTCTTTACCTGAGCTCTTCACCGCGCCGTCTCGAGTATGACTGTGCGTCGCCGCCACCATGGCCACACGTCGCCCGGTGAGGCCACGCCCTCGGCCAGGTCGTGAACCCCCGACGAGGTCACGCCCGCCCCTGGCCCTGGCCGCCGTCCACCATGCCCCCCCCCCACGCGTGAGGTCGCGCCAGCCCTCGGCCGTGACCGCGGTCCCCGGCGAGGTCGCGCCCGCCCCCGTGCGACCCCGCTCCCCCCGGTGAGGTCACGAGCCCACGTCCAGGTCGCGCTCGCCCCGGGCCATGGCCGCGCGGCAGGAACGGAGGGAGCAGGCCATGGGCGGCACGGTCGAAATGGAGGGAGCTGTTGTGCGTGGCGGCTTGCAGCTCTGCGGACCAGCGAGAGCCCCGCGCTGTCGTGCTGCTGGCTTAGCCCGGCGCCCCCAATACCCCACGCGCACACATGGCTGATGGGCAGAGGTGGAAGATGACTTGCTGGGGCAATTTGGTGTATTCACCGCCCTTTCTCTCTCCTGAACCACGAAATGAATATTATAATGGGTGTGGTGTCGAGCGGCAAAGAACCACGATTTCATAATGGTACTGGGCATATTTTGGAGTTGGCGGTGTCCAAAAGCATATTAGACGTCTGTGCGTTGTCCCTGAGCAAAATTTGCCTTGTTTTTGTATGGAATTTGACCAATTCTGCAGATGCCGCCACCACCACCAAAAAGGAAGCTCAAGTAACCTGTCAGAGGATTGAGGTTTGGAACTTGGCTTTACAGGATCATGGTTATTATGCATCTGAGTTGAGAAGATAATAAACAGAAAAAAAACTAAATTTGGTCCTCCAACTACTGAAGTTTTATTTTAGTCCTTAAACTTCAAAACAAGACAAAAGTTATCTAAATTGTTAATATTATCCATTTTTCATCTCTTCGGGTTTTGGCCGCGTTGGTGGCCACATCATATATATGATATGTCAACCTTCCCAACAAAGAATAGAAGTTAATTAAGGTTTAAGAATGAATTGCAGTAGAGGCGGACATGAGAGTCTAGTGTAGATTGTGAGTGTAGACACAACCTTTTTCTCTTTTTATTCTGTTTTTCAAATTTTGTTGAGTAGACTACAAAGCCTGTGTCTGGAGAGCTTTTTCTCCTAGGAAAGAGGGTTTCTTGTATATTTCTTAAAAATGAGCTGAAGGATGGAAAATGTAGGGCATTAGTATTGCAAATGGTCACCCTGTTTTTCAGCACTATTTCAGCAATACTTGTCGACGAAGGAATAATTTTTTTCCTCTCATAACAAATCAGCATCAGTATAAGCAGCAGCCAAATTTCAGCGAAACGAACAGGGCCGGTGTCTTTTGTTTGGCTTTGGCCTTTTGGAGTTCAAAGATCAAATGCGCCTCATGCTCTTTTATTCTCTCAATGGTCGGTTTGTCTTTAAGTCCGAGCTATCAAAACGCTTCTCATGGTACGATGTCGTCAAGTATTTTTTGCAAGCTCAAACTGCCCATGTCATCCACGTTGAGTACCTCTTGATGGAGCAATTGGCGTGAAATCACTTTTTTTTTTCTTACGTTGGTGAGGAGTTCCGTCGGTTTTCAAAAAAAAAAAAAAAGCAAGAGCTCGTGGTCCATAGGCCATGTCCAGGGAAGATAAGTGAGGAAGGTGAAGTAGATGCTGGAGGGCTCCAGGCATCAGCGTTCTGTGGCTGAGAGGAGCTGGAGAGGAGCTGCTTCTGGGGATTGGTCTCTGTGCCAACCTCTCCCTTTGGCCTCTTGTGTCTTCTTCTGCTTTGGCACGCTTCGTTAATCAAAAAATCAAAGGTTGCTCCTCTCTTGCTTGTTTACTGCTCCAACGCGACACCTTCCTCTCCATCTCCAGAGTCCAAAACAGACTAGAGGCCCTCCTTGATTGGACAAGTCATCCTACACTACACGTACTGCGTGGAAATTGCATGGGCGCCGCGCTGTTTGTAGAAACGGTTTTCTCCTCAACGGTGGGTGTGTAGTAGGTGGGCCATTTTCAACTAGACACGTGTCCAGACACGTGTGCCATTCCCAACTAGACACGTGCACGCTGTCCAGTCAAAACATAGCATTTTATTTTTTTTTAAAAAAAATTGTTTGGATACCTTGGGAACTAGTTATCTAAAAATAGTTCAAATTTCTAAGTGATACGAACATGTCACTTAATACGTGGATTAATTTTTAGCAAAAAAGACGTTAGTTGTTAGCCCATTAGCTATACCATTAATTACTAGGGGTAAAAAGATTTGCAAATATCATTTTTACCATCCAAAACCAGCTATTTCATGCAACTATTAGCTAGATCCAAACATTGCACGGAGAGTTGCATGATGCCAATCTCGGGGCCACGTTTAGGGCCTGTTTGGAACACAGGAATTGAAAACATAGGAAAGGAAAAAATACAGGAATGAGATGAATATGTAGTGGTAAAATAGAGGAAAGGAAAAACGCAGGAAATAACTAAGAATGAGCGTTTGGAACGCAGAAATACATAGCACAGGAATCATAAGACTGTGAATGCTATAGTCATTATTAGTGCTTAATGAAATGATAATATATACTGTATTAGCTGCTCGATTCTCTCTTCTCATTTGATTTTCCTCGGGCGAGCGCGAAGGAAAACGAAACTAGAGGTAAGAGCAGATGTTTTTTTTCCTGTGAAACCATGTTGTTGCTACAGGCTTCCGGAGGAAAGGTTCTACTCGTTTCCTTCGTTCCAAACGGTCTCCTCGTCTTCCTTTCCTCCGTTTTCGTTTCCTTTATTTTCCCTACGAAAAACCTTTGTCCCAAACAGGCCCTTAGGGTCATGTTTCGGTCAGTTTTGGATTCTTAAAAACCAGTTTTTGTCTCACTACTACAGAAAATCTTTTCCACAACGTTGCGACCCAGTTGCCCGCCTCGGTTATTCGAGGCAGGGCAGCCGGGCAGCAACCGCCTCGGTTAATACTTATTAACCATGGCGTTTATTTTACAAAGGCGATTATTTTATAATGCCCGCTTCGGTTAATGTATTAACCGAGACGGGCATTGTAAAATAACCACCTCGATGAATGATTAACTGAGGCGGGCATTGTAAAATAACCGCCTCGATAAATCAGGCCCAACCCGCTAGCCCAAGAGACCCAGTTCCCAACACACACACACACATGTATATATAGGGTGTATTTTATATACTCCCGGGAGTAGTTACTCCTATAATCAATAAATCACGTTACGTATGTGTACATACTCATTTATTAGTTTGAGTATGTTGACATACTAATATTAAAATACTCCAGATCTTTACTATGTGAAATTTTTTCAAAAGAGTACATATTTTTTAATATATTATATAATACTATGATAGTAGCATATAAAATAAGTATAACCATATACTCTAAGTATACATACATACTTGTCATACATAGTATTTTAGATGGTCTAGTATGATGATATACTCCATCTACATACACTTCGTCGGACCATATACGTCCTAAATCTAGAGATATACACATAGGAGTAACTACTCCCTGAGAGTAGGAAATAATTTCCATATATATATATATATATATATATATATACCAGACTAGGGTTTTCAGCCTTAGCTCCTCACTCCCTCCTCAGCTGCACTACTCTCTCTCCCTCCGGTCTCCTCCCTAGCCCAACGCGCACTCCTCGCGAAGTCGCCCAATGCCCCCTCCCCTCCCCTCCCGGTGCCCGACACGCCCCCTCCCCAACCCTCCCTCTCTCCTCCACGACGGCTCCTGGCGGTGGCACGTGGTTGCCGCGAGCGTGGGCCCAGCTCTCGACGGCGGCTCCTCCCGGATCCAGCGTTGGGCAGGGCGCAGGGCGGCTCGGCCCCTCCCGGCGGCACGGAGCAGCAGTAGCAGCGGGTGGCGTCGCGGATCCGCCCTCCTCCCCTACCTCCATGGCTCCACCGACGGGTGGCACGTGGTTGCCGCGAGCGTGGGCCCAGCTCTCGGCGGCGGCTCCTCCCGGATCCAGCGTCGGGCAGGGCACAGGGCGGCTCGGTCCCTCCCGGCGGCACGGAGCAGCAGCAGCAGCGGGTGGCATCGCGGATCCGCCCTCCTCCCCTACCTCCATGGCTCCACCGACGGGTGGCGTTGCAGATTCGGCGGGATGGAGCCACCACGGCGCGGATCCGGCGGAAAGGTGGCCTTCGGCGGCATATCTGGCGGGATGAAGGGCCGGCTCCCTAGGCCGGCGGCGGCATGCCTCACCCTCTTCTCTCCCTCACTTCTCTCAGTGGCGGTGGTGGAGGGCGAGATCCGGCGGCTGGAGGCCGGATCCGCGCCCGTGGTGGCCGGATCTGGCGAGCAGCGGGCAGATCCGGTGAGGGGGCGACCTCCTCCAGCGACGGCGGTGTGGATCCGACAAGCGGGGGTGCGGTGC